ATTGGCAGATTTATTCAACAAGGTGTACGATACGGGAATAATACCACAAGACTGGCTGAAGTCAGCATTTATAACCATCCCTAAAAAACAAGCAGCAAAAGAGTGCTCTGATTATCGAACACTGAGCCTCATGTGTCATACTTTAAAAGTTCTTCTAAAAATAATACATAAGAGAATATACGAAAGGCTAGAGGAGGATATTAGCGAGACGCAGTTCGGGTTCCGAAATGGAATGGGTACTCGAGAAAGACTATTTGCCATCAACATATTGATTTAGCGATGTCTGGATGTAAATGTTGATCTACACTTGTGCTTCGTTGACTACGAAAAAGCTTTCGATAAAGTAAGACATAAAAAACTAATACCAACACTTATGAATACCGTATTAACAGTAAAATCATAAATATAGTGCAAACATTATATTGGAACCAAAGTGCCATAGTTCAAATTGATGGGCGACACTCAGAAGAAATGAGGATCTGTAGAGGAGTTAGACAGGGATGTGTTTTATTACCACTTTTGTTTAACTTATATTCTGAAGAAATTGTCCAAAACACGCTCAATAATATCGAAGCGGGAGTCACCGTTAACGAAAAATTAATTAACAAACTTAAGATATGCAGACGACATTGTGATCATAGCAACGAGTATAGAGGATCTACAACATCTTATCGAAATCTTGAGTATGAATAGTGCTAAGATGGGAATTACTATAAACGCTAAAAAACAAAGTACATGCTAATTACAAAAAGACCACAACATATACATCACTTATTGACAATCAATGGTAACGTGATAGAACAAGTAGAAAAATATCAGTACTTGGGAACTCTGATTAATGAATTTATACGAATGAAGCCACTCCTAACGTGCAAAAATCTAAATTTGGAGATTAGACTACGTACCATTCGCTGTTATATATTTTCAATATTATTATATAGAGCTGAGACTTGGACATTAAAAAAATGTAATTTAAAAATAATCTCGAGGCCTTCGAACTCTGGTTATACCGCAGAGTATTGAAAATATCATGGACTGATAGAATACAAATAAAGAAGTACTGGAAAGGGTTGGTAAAGAAACAGAACTAATCACCACTATACAAACCAGAAAACTGGAATACCTTGGCCACGTGATGAGGGGACTAAAATTAGAAAATTTGAGACTCATAATATAGGGAAAGATTCAGGGAAGAAGATCTGTTGGCCGAAGGCAGAACTCATGGTTAAAGAATCTACGTGATTGGTATCAATGCAGATCGATTGGTTTGTTTAGCAAGCTCTAAAATAAAAATAGCCATTATGATTGCCAACCTCCGTAGGGAGACGGCACTCTAAGAAGAAGGCGTAATATCCATGATGAAATTAAACGAAACAAACTTACTAATTACTGAAAATAACACAAAATGGTACAAAACAACACAAACTTGTCTATATGTCCTAAAATACCCTCAAATAAAAGGCAGAGAAAAGTAAGGTTATATTTAGAATGCTTGGTCAGTTATAAATATATGGTCAGTGTTGCCAACTGTGGATATTGAAAAATGTCACAATGATTCCAATAATTCGCACAATACTGTATAAGTTTGTCGTTATCCTTCAGGCTTGTAACTGAAGGTGAACACCATAAATACGTATAATTTTTTTCCAATCTTCTGCCATCGGAGCGGAGCTGTTGATATTAGTAACATATTTTGACAACGAAGCTTTTTTAGATGGTTAAACTATAAGTTAAGCTTTTACTTTTATTCTCCTTGAACTCCATTGAATTTTTTGCTGTTTGGTATTTTTTTTATATTTATTTAATGCTCCTTTGCTGTCATGTATAGCTTTTAACAGTCACTATGTATATTTCTGCCATTTTTAGAATGATCTGGTTAAAATCTTCCAGTGCTTTGTCAATACTTTCTGTTATATTACAGTTTAGTAAAGCAGTTTTCCTTCCTTCAAGCCATTCTGTAAAGCCATGAAGCAGTCCTTCCTTAAAGCCATCCTGTAAGGAAAAATATTTAGAAAACGAGGTCCAGGAAGAAGAAGAACATCTTGGTTAAATAACCTCAGAGGCTGGTTCAATACAACATCTGTGCAGCTTTTCCGGGCTGCTGCAGATAGGATAAATATTGCCATGATGATCGCCAACATTCGTAACGGATAGGCACATCAAGAAAAAGAAAGCAGTTTTAATGTGATCAGAGAAGCCTCCTTAGTCTGCGCCTGCTGACTTGATTTTCCATTTGGGTGTATATATACACCCAAATATACAGTAAAAGGTTGTTAATTTTAATAAAATAGTGGTCGCTACCATAATTGTACAATAGATCTTGCCAAAAAAATCAGTGGTTAGTTGGGGATCGCACAGAGTCTAGGAAAATTGTCAGTAATAGATCGCAAGATTTATAACTGACAATTCCCCTGAGATAATATTAAGCCTGGTTCTTCTTCTTCTTCATGTACCATGTCCTTTTAGAACGTTGGTTACCATCATAGCTATCTTAATTTTATTCACTGACACCCTAAATAGCATGTTTGTATCAACATCATACCAATCTCGCAAGTTCTTCAACCATGAAGTTCTTTTTCGTCCTGGACTGCGTTTGCCTGCTATTTTTCCTTGCATGATATTTTGTCCATATTTGGGACCTCTCATTACATGTCCAAAATATTCCAGCTTTCTTTTCTTGATACTTTTTATGATCTCAGTAGTCTTGCTAAGATGTGCTAGTATTGTGGAGTTTCGAATCTTCTCCACCCAGGAAACTTTTAAAATTCTTCTATAGCAACACAATTCGAAAGCCTCAAGATGATTTAGATCGATTTTATTCACAGTCCAAGACTCGACACCATAAAGTAAAACCGAGAATACGTAGCATCGAAGTAGGCGGATCATCAATGTCAATTTTAGGTCTCTGTTACATAACACCTTGGACATCCTTCTAAAAGCAGCTCTAGCCTGCTCTATCCTAGGTCTAATTTCGCCTTGACTTTCTGCGTTACGATTTAATTGCTGTCCAAGGTAAACGATTTTATCAACTTGCTCAAGTATGGTATTATTTACATATATAGACGGTTTTATATGCTGTTGTTTACTTATTATGAGTAATTTGGTTTTCCGTATGTTAAGATCTAGACCTGCCTCCATACAACTCTCAACGACACTATCAAGTAGTGTTTGCAGATCTTCTTGACTAGAAGCTAGGAGTACTGTATCCTCCGCATATTGCCAATTATTGATGACTTCGCCGTTCACAAGTATTCCTTCTTGTATTTCTTCTTTTTCTTTTTGTGCCACTCCTCGGAGATTGGAAATTATCAAGGCTATTCTGACCTTGTTTATGGCTGACCTAAAGAGTTCATTAGTGGTGCAGCCAAACGACTCTCTCAAATTCCGCCACCATGACATTCTTCTACGGCCTGGATTCCGTTTTCCTTCTATTTTTCCCTGCATTATATTTTGAAGTATTGCGTATTTATGTCCTCTCATCAGGTGACCAAAATATTCGAGTTTTCTTCGCTTTAGCGTTAACAAAATCTCTGGGTCTTTTCCTATTCTTCGTATTACTTCACAGTTTGTTATTCTTTCAATCCAACTAATCTTCAGCATTCGACGGTAGCACCACATCTCGAAACTTTCAATATTTTTCATGTTGTTCTGTTTGAGAGTCCAGGCCTCTACACCGTATAATAGCGTGTTAAATACATAGCCTCTCAGCATTCTTAATCGTAGAGGGATGCTTATATTTCTGTTGCAGAAGAATTTTCTCATCTTTATGAAGGTGGCCCTGGCAATTTCAATACGTCTTTTTATTTCACTGTTTTGGTCTCCAGTTTCGTTTATTAAAGTTCCCAAGTATTTGTAACTTGATATTTTTTTAACTTGAGTGCCGTTTATACTAATATACGCTGGTTGTGTCATGTTTTTACTGAAGGCCATATACTTGGTTTTTTTAATATTGATATTTATACCATAATTGTTGCAAGCAATATTTATGTCTATAAGTAATCTTTGTAATTCTTCTACTGTTCTTGCAACTAGTACAGTGTCGTCCGCGTATCGAATATTATTTACAATCTCTCCATTAATTCCGATTCCTCCGTTTGCTTGTAAAAGGGCTTCCTGACAGATGCTTTCACTATATACATTAAATAACAGAGGTGACAAAATGCAACCCTGTCGTACTCCTCTACGTATTTCTATTGCTTGTGATGTTTCAGTTTCTATTTTGATGTTAGCTTTCTGATTCCAATATAGATTGAGAATTATTCGCAGATCTTTATTATCTATGTCCTTCCTTTCAAGAATCTCTCTAAGCTTATCATGGCGTACTCTGTCAAACGTTTTTTCAAAATCGATAAAACACGTATGTACCTCCTGATTAACGTCTAGGCATCTTTGTGTGGGAACATTCAAACCGAAGAGAGCTTCTCGAGCACCAAGCCCTTTTCTTGTATTTCAGAAAGCGCTTTTCTAAAAATTCTTTCGGAGTAAACGTTAAAAAGCAGGGGTGACAAGAGGCATTCCTGCCGTAATCCTCTTTTAATATTGAGAGACTGTGATTCCACACCATCTACTAAAACTGATGTTGTTTGATTCCAATATAAATTTGCAGTTATTCGAACATCTTTGCCGTCCAAGCTAATGTCTTTTAGAGTTTCGATCAATATAGAGTGCTTAACACGATCAAATGCCTTTTGGAAGTCAATAAAACAACAGTATATGTCTACAGATATATCACGACATCTTTGAGCAAGTACGTTCATTCCAAACAGTGCCTCTCTCGTTCCAAACCCGTTACGGAAACCAAACTAAGTCTCATCCAGGTATTGCTTGCATTTATTGTAGATACGACCATGTATTACCTGTAGATAAGCCTGGTTGGAGAACTGTTATTTAAGCGACGGTTAATTCATTTTCTATAACTTTATCCCATGGTCGATTATCCATTTCATCACTGTAGCTAAGAAGACTAATTGGAGTGCAAGGCTGATATAAAAAGATAAAAATAAATTTTATAAAGCAATATTTAATAATAAAATATTGATAAAGTTACAAGTATTTAAGCAAGTTCAGCAAATCCAATACGGTTGTTGCCAAAATCGAATTCGCTGTAAACGGTTTTCAGGAATGAATCTCCAACCAACCATTCAAATCCACTGAGGAAGAACTCTTGTGCGACGAAACTAGAGATGCAATAACCAGAGTCCTATAAAATAAAAAAAAACACACATTAAATAGTTGTCAGTAATATACAAACAGCATTTTCTTTTACTTTCAGAATTAGCTGCATGGATATTCACAAATGCATATAACACTTGATGCTGGACATTGAAGGATATTGAAGGAACTACTACTTACTTTGATGATGTACGCTGAAGCAGGAACGTCAAATTTCTTGCCTCCGAAAGCAAATGATACATTAGGAAGCTTGTTCAAATCGGTGTTGCAGTTAACGGTGTAAAGACCAACAGAGTAGTCATATTTGGCTCCAATTGCCTAAAAATATTAACCTATTAGAACACAATTGATATAAAATAGTTATATTTATAATTTTTTTTTTTCGAAATAAGATATAGTATTAAATATATTTAGTTTAAAATAATGAAAATATTAAAACTTTCTATTATTTATGACAATATTTTTAACAGCAATTTAGCGATATGTAACGATAAATAATTGTTATAATTATAAACCAATATATTATAATAATAAAATGATAATAACTAAATAATACACTAATAAAATGATTATATTTACCGAGTTAACAACGTCAACGTCATCGGTTGGTCCGTAGATGAGAGAGGTACCAGTATCTATGACAGCTTCACATCCAGATTGGCATACACTACGACTGCCTACAGAAACACCTTGTAAATTAGTTTGCCAGTAAAGTTTTGTTGATACTTTTGTGTAGGTGAAATCTCCTTTGTAGTATTTTGAATCTGATCCACCGAGCAACAGCTCTCCTTTGTCACCATTGGCAGTTCTGAAATTAAAAATCTTTAGTTAGATGATAGACAGCAATAACATGTTATATCGTAAAAATACTCAGTTTTATTTAAACTAGCATAAACATGAAACTAAAATACCAAGTATGAGAAACATGAAGACGATAGGGAGTAAAATAGATAGGAAGATAAGTAACAAAGAATCTAAGAAAAGGGTAACTAGGAAAACGCGTGGATTTGATGAAATTTTAAATAAGACTTAAAAAAAGTCTTTTAAATTCAACACTACTAGATTTTTTTGTAATAACTGCAAAACTTAAATATTATGCTGTAATATGTCTCTAAAAATACGTGTTAGGTTAGGTCAAGTGATCTTCTGTCTCTCTATTTAAAGGATTTAATTCTTGCAACTCCTGCATTTCACTTGGACTTATTTCACTTGCATTTCACCAAGATATTAGTACAGTGGAAAAACTTACCCAGAAAAAATGGAAAGAAAATAGAGTAAAAGTTATTATATACTTACTGGCTCAGATAAAAGGAAAATACTGGTGCATCAAGAACTCCTTGTTTGATCATGTTTTGGAAAACTGGAGGAATGTTTTGTGCTGACAGATCTGGATAAGCCAATCCTAAGATACCGTCAAATGTGCTGCTTACGAAAGCTGGAGCAGTTTCGACAGTGGCTTCAGCAAAAGTTTGGTCGGTTATAGCAAGACCGGCAACCTAAAACAACAATATTTTAAATAAATTTAATACATTTTAAAACAAAAAACCAAAAATGTGAGTATTTTCAAACAAATCAGAAAATAAAAAAAGTTTGCAAACTTGCTGGTTTTTGTTATTAGACTCTTTTGGTCTTCTGGTGATTGGTTCTGTTTCTTTACCAACCTTCTCAAGCACTTTAATTTTTGTTATACTATCAATTCATATTATTTTTAATACTATCCATTATGCGTACAACCAGAGTTCAAAAGCGGAAGTGGGAGTGGAAACATGCTTCAGTAATTTTCTAGCCTTAATTGAATCAAACTTCAACATGAAAATAGAGTATTTAAGATGTATATAGTGAGGAAAATAGTTCTAAATGCTTTAAAGATTTTTGTACTAGTAAAGAAATAACTATACAATATTTTGTATCCAGAAATCCAAAACAGATTGGATTAGCAGAAAAATACAATCGTATTATTTTAGATAAATCTAGATGTTTAATTTTGGACTGCTTTCTTAACAAGTCATTTTACTTAACAAATTGAATACCTACAGTACATTGCCTAAGGACTGCACATCAGCTGAAGTTTGGTATGGTAACAAACCTAATATGAGCAAAATTAAATTATTTGGATGTAATGCTTACGCACATATTCTTGAAGAATATCGATCTGAAAAGAATCGAAAAAATGTGAGAGATCAAGAAAATGTGTTTTTATTGGCTATTGTGACAATGGATATCGCCTCTTGGACCCTATAAAATGAGATGTGTTTACTTCTCGTTCAATTAGATTTGATGAAAATTGTGATGAGACCATAGAGGTGTGAGATGAGCCAACTATTACTGAAGCTATTAAAATTAAACCTGGAGTAATTCAACTTGATAGTACTCAAGAAAACGAGATACGTAGAAGTTCAAGAGATAGACGTATGCCTTCTTATCTTAATGGCTATGAAGTGAGTATGTCGATAGCTTTATCTGATTGCTGTCTCTCTTCTGCATTATCTAGAAACTACACTGAAGCTGTGTCTATGGGGAATGGATGGAAGGAGGCCATAGATAAAGAACTTTTGGTGTTAGAAAGCAACGGCACCTGGACTTTGGTAAAATTTAAGCCTGATGATGTAATTATTGATTCACGATGGGTTTTTGTTGCAAAAAATGTTTACTGAAAAGAACTCGATTAGTGACCAGAGGCTATCAGCAGCCAGAATTAGACAACGAAGACGTGTATGCATCAGTACCTAGATTAGCGACCTTGAAGGTACTGTGAAACATTGCTATAGATCCTGATATGAATATTCATCAACTTTCAGTGTCTAGTGATGTATTTTTAATGCAGCCGGATGGCTTCAGTGTTAAACCTGGTGTAGTATGTAAATTGGTAAGAGCTTTATATGGTTTACGAGAAAACCCTAAATGTTAGAACACAACTATTATTAGCATTTATGTAATTTAGGATTAAAAAGATCTAACGTTGACCTTTGTCTGTATTTCAATGGAAAAACTTATGTTATGACAATAATTGTCTTTTTAGGATTAGAAATTAAAAAAAAATATGAGACTTTGGTTGTTAGCCAGAAAAATTTAGTTAAAAAATTAATTATCGTTTTAACATGGCAAATTGCAAGATTAGTAAAATTCCAATGAAACCTAATTTAAATTTAGAAAAAGAAGCTGAAACTGATTTTAAAGTCCTTTATAAAGAGGTACTTGGTAGCTGGATGCATTTGATACTAGCATTAGGCCCAACTTGTGTTTTAAAGTTTAATTTTTTGGAAGATTTTAAAATAATTTTAAAAGTAATCATTGAAAGCATCTTAACAATGTAATTCGTTATTTGAACTATACTAACGAGCTGGGGGTAATATACAATAAATTTGCTAATATCTAATGATCGAGTTTCGGTTCATGCATATGCTGACTCAGATTTTGCGAGCAATGCTAATGACCGAAACAGTATCTCTGAATATATTATTCTATGTAATAATAAAGTTGTAAACTGGTGTTCTAATGTTCTTAGTAGCATTGAAGCCGAATATTTGGCTCTGTGAAAGTTGACAACCTAGGTTACATAAAAATGGCTCAAACTTATGAGACCAAACGCACAAAACATATTTATGTCAAACATAATTTCGTAAAAGAGATTGTAAATAAAGGACATTTTGTTATTGAGTATGTTCCTACAAACAAACAGTTAGCTGATATTATGACGAAGGCATTGACTGTTACTCAATTAGAATTATTGAGAAATTGTTTGAATGTTTCTAAAACTAATGTTTAATTTTACAGTTTATTAGTTTGTTGTAATTTTGTTTGTAGTTTGTACTTAATTCATTTGTACTTTTGTAGAATTGAGAGGTTGTGTTGCTGTACAATTTAATACATACTATAATTAGCAATACGTTTTCTTTTTGTTGATGACTGATGACTTTCTTGTCACTTGTCCCTTGTCACCAGTCTCTGTACACTTGTACTTGTAAAACAGTAAAACTTATTTCTTTTCCAATTAGAAATATTAATAGTGTTATTATTATTAACTTGTGTAAACATCCACTTCCACTAGTTTTAACAGTGCTTCAGGTATTTCATCTAATCCAGCTGCCTTATTATCTTTAGATAACATATTTGATTTTATCTATTGTGATCTTTTGTCTCTCTATCTAAAGGATTTAATTCTCGTATCTGCTGCATTTCACTGCTTTCATCTTGGAGAAGTTCTCTCATGTATGTCTTTTCCCTTCTTAATTTCTTCGGTAAATCTATTAGCAGTATTTCTTTCTTGTCTTTTATGTATCCTTGATGACTTTTTGACCCAATCCGATCACATCGCTAATTTTTTTATATTTGAATTTTCAAGTAAATAAAATATATAAGTTAAAAAGTGAATGTTTTAAACTTAGAATGTTCTAACTCACCTCTACGCTGTCTTTGGATAAGAAACCACTCAAAGCACCGGATCCGTATTCAATGTGGAAGGATCTGCCATCTTTTTGGTATGTTGAAGATTTGCTAGCATCGTATTGTTTATGGTTTTCTGAAATATGGAAACACTTTAAAACTGAAGAATTTTCATTCGTGCTTAGATTTTTATTATGGACTTTATGCTTAATGGAAATTGAAATTTCAAATATATTAAAACAAATAACGAAACTAATTTTTAATTTTGATGCATTTATATAAATATCTCTAACGTTCTACAAACTATCGGTTGTATATTACAATATATACTTACTGCAACCGTTTTGTGCGGATGTCGCTTGGCATTTGCTTGAAGGTACCCAAAGATCAGTAGATCCAGTATCAAAAATGACGTTGAATTTTTGTGCGGGTGTTCCTACACCGATTTCTCCATAATAATCAAGCTAGATAAAAAATAATTGTCATTAATATTTAAACAGATTACAAATAAACTATTGATTTGGTTAAAGAGTTATAATATTTTTGGACGATTCAATGAAACACACAGAAGTAGACCACGACGAAAGAACTCGCTGCAGTGTGGCTACAATAGACAATAAGTGACGTATAGTATAATTATATCACCCTATAGATAGACTATGTTCTTTATATATGGCCATATATGGTATTCAGCACTTTTCTTTCAAGTATTTGCCTTAACTTCTGCTCTCGCGTCGTCATTACCCATATTTCTGATCTGTAAGTGAGCACTGGGTGTATTATGGTCTTGAACAGTAAACGTTTTGTTTTTCTTGGGACATATTTTCCCTTTTTGCTGAGATCCTAGGCCATAGTAGCATCGATTGGCCACTCATATTCGCTTTCTTATTTCTTTGGATTGTATCAGATTGTTTTTGCAGTTCACCAGTCTTTTACTGTTTAAAATATTGTTCTGAAGCTATTTTCTTGTGGCATTTGAAAGTAATTATTATTAAAATGGGAATAAGCCACAATTAAAGGTTAACTTGGTTTATTGACGTTTCAATTTCCACTTCGGAAACCGTTTTATTTAGTAAATAATTAGTAATTTATTAAAATAATTTATTATTAGTAAATTTACTAATGTTTATATTTTGAGAACTTTTCCGAAATGGTAATTGAAATGTCAATAAACGTAATGTTTGTAATTTATTAATGTTTGTATTTTGAGAACGATTTCCAAAGTGGAAATTGAAACGTCAATAAACTTACGTTAACCTTTAAATGTGGCTTATTCCCATTTAAATAGTAATTACTATTGTAAATATTTTATATTGCATCTTGAAGTTGTTTTGTTGAATTCGGTACAATGCCGGCATATATTTAGTTTCTCCTTAAGGTGCCCTCTCCATTACAGAAGGTTGGCTATAACTACTGCAAATTGCTCTCTATCTTAAGCTGTTCTTAGTATCGAATGTGTGTCCATGCCTGTCCAGTATCTTACATTTTTCAGCCAAGAGCATTTTCTTCCTCCTGGACCGCTTCTTCCTTCCACTTTTCCTTCCATTATCAGTTGTGGGAAGTTGTATTTTTCTTATCTGTAAATATGTCCAAAGATAACTCGTTTTTCTGGTTTTTACAATATTTAGGAGTTCTCTCTCAGTCTCCATTCTTCTCAGCACCTCGTTGTTGGTCACGTGTTCTATCTAGAGATCTTCAGCATCCTTCGAAAAACCCACATCTCAAAGGCTTACACATCTCATACTTGTGATTACGAGAGTCCATGTTTCCACTCCGTATAGCAATATGGAATAAATCAATGTTTTTACAAATTGGTATCGGATATACAACGATAGGGTAGAGTTTATTAGAAATTCTTTCGTTCTTTCAAAAGCGGACCTAGCATACTCTATACGAGCACGTAATTCAACTTCGCAGTCAAGATCGTTTGTTATCCAGTAACCAAGATATTAGAATTTTTGTACGGGTTCTATCTATTTGTTGTAGATACTACTTTTAATGTCGGCATTTGGTGAACGTATAACTTCCATTACTTTCGTTTTATTTGTGTTTATATTCAGCTCCAAACTATCTTCCCTCTCTGGATATGGCATTTAAAATTCGTTGCAAACCCTCAGCACTGTCCAAAATCATGACGGTGTTGTCTACGTATTTTAAGTTGTTTACATATTTCCGGTTGATTTTTATTAATTCTTCAATGTTTTCGAGATCATTTTGGAAGATCTTTTCGGAACATATATTAAACAATAGTGGAGAAAGTACACAGCCCTGGCGAACTCCTCTTTTTATTGACATTTCTGATATTATACAATTGTCTATTTTATTTTCCGCCATTTGATCCCAATATAGGTTTTTAATAAGGGCCTTCGTGTTATGGTCTATACTATACCATGTTGTGTTAGGTTTTCTATGAGTTCTGTGTGTGTTTCTCGATCAAACGCTTTTTCGTAGTCGATAAAACAGAGAAACACGACTTTTGGCTGATCTCGGCATTTTTGTAGTAACATCTGGAAGCCAAATAATGCCTCCCTTGTACCAAGCCCCATACGAAATCCATATTGATTGCCGCTCAGGTTTCCTTCGCATTCTCTTTATATACGTTGATGTACAACTTTAAGTAAAATTTTGAACCCAGAAAATGGCTCATTGGGCTAATATTTAGTTTACTGTGTATTAATCATGAAGTCCAATGCTTTCTGCGCCATGTAGGATTCTTGTAAAAGCTTCAACTACTATATAAAGCGTGCATGACAGCGCATCTACATGGCGCAGTACTCTGTTAGTTTTTAACGATTTGAAGAGACTTCAAAGAGTGTCATTTTAACTAATTCTACAAATCGTTTTGGTATTTCAAAGACGACCAAAGCTTAATACCTCTTAGTAGTCGTTATCATTTTTTCCATTGCTTTCTATCCTGGGGCTACCTTCTAGGACTCAGAGAATGTCTTGCCACTGATTCGCTGCACTGAAGTGACAAGCGAGTGGGTTAGAAACCTTCAACATTTACCGAAATTACAAGTGTCTTAAGATAATCATTACATCTCCTTCTAATATGTCCAAAAAAATTTAAAAGTCCTGTAATACAAATAGAAGAGAGTTAAATCTTAATGTTAAGCTCTTGAAAGATTGAGATATTTATTATGTGCTCTGTCCATGAGATATGAAGCATTGTCCTTCAGCACAGCATTGTCTCAAAGGTGTCCATTTTTTTCCTATCGTTGGATTTCAGTGTCCATGTTTTGGATCCGTAATTGAATAAACAAAGATTGATCTTTCCATAGGTTTGATAATCGACTCATTCCTATTCTACTACGTATTTCGGTTTCACAAGAGTCGCATTACTAATGTAGAATGTTAGATAATACTACTCGTCAACTGTTTGAAATTGGTCCAAATCTCCGGTTAGTTGCAGTATATTTGAATAGACAACTCTCATAATTTTTATTTTTTGTTTATTGATCCTAAGGCGACATCTATTGCTTTCAGTTTTCACTAACTGTAGTAGATTTGACATATTAGGATGGCAGCAATGATTATGGATCTTTTGATATAAGGAATTCATAAAGAAGAAAAAATTATCTCTGTAGAAGTCGAAATTGATGCTGATGCTGATTATTTACAGGTAAAGTTAAATGAAGAATATAAAAAAATGTACAAAAACAATTGAACTACAATTCAATTGTGATACAAAGATAATTAAAGAGCAAGCAAAAATAGTAAAAAGCTTCAACGAAATAAATCGTAACAGAAATCTTCTTTTAAAATTATTATCAAGTAAAAACAATTGTAGCTCTCATTCTAAGATATTTGGTGTAACTTACGTCATATTCGTTGACTAAAGGTACTGCTCCTTGTCCTCCAAATTTACTGCGTAGTCCGCTTCTGGCTACATTACGCAACCTTCTTTGTCCATTATCAGGTACTTTTTTCAAAGGAATTCTGCAAAAATATTATTATTATATTTTGGGCAAATACAAAAATAAAACTCTACAAAACAATAATACGGTTCAGAAACCTTAACTCTAATAAAAAGTAATGAAAGCATGTTAAAATGTTTCGAAAGAAAAGTACTAAGGTGAATTTATGGAGCAGTGAATAACAATGGAGTGTGTATTAGGAACCTTCTTCTTGTGGTGCCTATTGGTTACGGATGTTGGCTACTAGCATGGCAATTCTAACTTTATTGACCGCAGCTCGAAATAGTCCTGAAGTGGTCAAGGAAAACCATTTTCGTAAGTTCTGGAGCCAAGATATCCTTCTTCTTCCTGGTCCCCTCTTTCCGTAGACGTTTCCCTGTAATATAAGTTGCAGCAGGTTATATCTATAATCGTTTCGCATTATATGTCAAAGATATTCTAGCTTGCGCTGTTTCACTGTGGATATAATTTCACATGTTTTATCCATCCGACGTAGAATCTGAATGTTTGTTATTCGGTCCACCCAGGATATCCTCAGTATCCGTCTATAACACCACACCATCTCAAACGCCTCGAGTTTTCCCATAGATGCCTAGCTTAGTTTCCATAATTCAACCCCATAGAGCAGCACTGTAAGCACGTAGCATCTTAATAAACGGATTTTTGTTTTTAAGGGTAGGTCATGGCTCTTAAATATCTTGCTCATTCTGACAAACGCTGACTAGACTTTTTTAATTTGTTGTTCTATCTCAACTAAGTGGTCCCATTGGTCGTTTATGGTGGTTCCTAAATGGTAGTACCGGAGCACTTGGAGTATTTGTTACTGATCTACCAATAATTCACTAGGTGGAATATGTTTCTTACTGATGACCATGTACTTTGTTTTCTTGATGTTAAATCAAGCCCGTATTCTTGACTGATTCTCCAAAATTACGTTAATAGTGTCTATAAACCTTCTAAACTGTCTGCAAAGAGGATGGTGTCGTCTGCATATCTGATGTTATTCAGGCGCTCACTATTTATGAGAATACCCTCTTCGGTATGATCTAAGGCCTGGCTCATGACGTATTCCGAATAGACATTAAATAATAGGGTAGAGAGTATGCAGCCCTGTCGTACTCCTCTCTTTATTGAAACTTCCTCTATTAGTTGGATCTTTCACCCGAATGGTTGCTGATTGGTTGCCGTATATGTTCTTGATTACTCGAAGGTCTTTGCTATCTAGATCAGTTGCCTTTAGTATATCCATGAGCTTATCGTGCTTGATTATGTCGAAAGCTTTCTGGTAGTCGATAAAGCATACATACATATCGCAGTTGACGTCTCTGTACCTTTGAAATAATACCTGAATCGCGAACAAAACTTCTCTTGTACCTAACGCATCCCTGAATCCAAATTGCGTTCGTGAGATCTGTGACTCACATTTACTGATAAATTCTTCTGTGTATTATCTTTAAGAAGGTCTTAAGAATGTGGCTCATTAGACTGATAATAAGATGCTCTTTGCATTTTTTTGCATTATGTTTTTTAGGTATAGCAATAAATGTAGATTTTAACCAGCTCTCTGGGATTTTTCCCAGATCATAGATTTTATTGAACATTGTTGTAAGCCATTTGACTCCTTTGTCTTCCATGATTTTTAGAAATTCTGAATGAAAGTTGTCGAGCCCTGGTGCTTTACCTGCTTTGGTTTCTTTAATTGCGGCTTTGACTTCGTCTTGAGTGATTGGTGGTCCTGTGTCGTATTCCATATTTAGGAACCAAATATCGTAAATGTGCATTCGATATTCGTGTGCATTCAACAACATGGCCAAACCCTCTAAAAGCCACAGCCTTAATCTGGAGATAAAAGTAAGGCCTCTTCGATGTTATATCTTCTCGATATTATACTATGGAGTTAAATCCTGTACACTCACTAAAGCGATAGAGAAAAACCTTGAAACCTTTGAGGTATGGCTATACAGAAGAATCCTAAGGATATCATGGACGGACAAGATAACCAACGAGAATGTACTATGAAAAATGGGGAAAGAAAGACAGGTGATGTATAAGATTAAAAGGAGAAAGTTAGAGTATCTGAAACGGCACTAAATACAGATTACTGAAAATAATCCTTCAAGGCAAAGTATTCAGAAAGCGAGAAATTGGAAGAAGGAGAATATCATGGTTAATAAACTGTGAAAAAGAAAATGGTTGTCCACCTTAACAACTAATATATTTAAAGCATCACTGTCCTGTTAAGGATAGAAGTCGCATCTGCAATTTTGAGTTTTTTTAGGTTATAACGCCAACACATTGATAGCCAAATAATCTACCTATGTATTAAGAATGAAAGTCCTATCTGCTTCCAAAATATTCTAATAACAGGAAAATCTAACCTAATCATTTATAGTGTTCTCGCCTTTTTAGTTTCTTAACCTAAGGAGATTAATATATCAATTTTCTCCTTTTAAGGAGAAAATTGATATATGGGAAAATTATATCCAGGAGCTCTTCCATGACGAAAGACCCATGAGTGAAGTTTATACAGACGACCAGCTGACTGGCCCTTCAATCACCAAAGAGGAGATAGAAAAAGCAATATTAAATTCAAAAAACAATAAGGCACCTGGACCAGATGAGATCCCGTCAGAAATACTCAAATTACTAGATGAAAGGGGAATTTCAGCACTACACAAAATATTTAATTTAATTTATGAAACTGGCTGCTATCCTCAACAGTGGTTAGGCTCTACCTTTATTTCCCTGCCCAAGAAAGTCAATGCAAAAAGATGTGAGGATCACAGACTCATTAGCCTGATGAGTTACACTTTAAAGATATTCTTAAAAATACTACACCAAAGATTATACAAAAAATGTGAATGGGACATCAGTGATTCTCAGTTCGGGTTTAGGCAAGGTTTAGGAACACGAGAAGCAATAGTAGCAACACAGGTACTGGTCCAAAATTGTTACGATCAGAGGAAGGATGTGTTCCTATGCTTTTTAGATTACAAAAAAGCGTTTGATCGTGTCCAACACCACAAGTTAATGCAGATTCTCAAGAAAGTTGATATAGACCAAAAAGACATAAGATGCATTGAAAACTTGTACTGGCATCAAACGGCACAGCTAAAAATAGACAATTCTATATCTAAGCCCATACATATAAGAAGAGGCCTTCGACAGGGATGTGTGCTTTCCCCTCTTTTATTTAACATTTATTCAGAAGCCATATTTCAAGAGTCTTTGGAAGATGCAGAGATGGGAATCAAGGTGAATGGAGTATTGATCAACAGCATACGATATGCTGATGATGGTGTCTTAATTTGTGACAACATAGTCGATCTTCAACAACTTGTCACTATAATCGGAGAATACACTGAGCGAATGGGACTAGAGATTAATACCAAAAAGACCAAATTCATGATCATCTCCAGAAACTTGGATGCATTTGAAAACTCCACCATAACACTGAATAGTAAATCCATAGAAAGAGTGAGTAAATTTAAATACCTGGGATCGTGGCTTTTTGAAGACTGGGCATCGGACAGGGAAGTAAAATGTCGCATTGAGCAAGCTCGACAAGCTTTCGTAAAATTCAAGAAGGTACTGACTTGTTCTGAGTTCGATCTTCAACTGAGACTAAGGTTTACTAAGTGCTACGTATGGTCAGTGCTGCTATATGGCGTAGAGGGCTGGACACTCAAAACGAGGGATATAAACAGATTGGAAGCTTTCGAAATGTGGCTTTATCGCCGTATTCTAAAAATACCATGGACAGCGAAAATCACAAATATAGATGTCCTTAAAAGAATAAACCAAGAACGCCAACTTTTCGAAACCATCAAGAAAAGGAAAACAGCGTATCTAGGTCACATCATGTGAAATGAAAAATACCAGTTCCTCCAACTTATAATCGAGGGTAAAATTGAAGGCAAGAGAGGAATGGGACGCAAGAAAATGTCCTGGCTCCGAAACATAAGGCAATGGACAGGGATTAACGACATACAATCTCTGATACATATTGCAAGAAATAGAGAGTTAATGGAAAATGTGATCGCTAACATCCATTAGTGGATTTGCATCTGAAGAAGAAGAAGAACCTAAAAATTAAACAGTTGTAAGCTTTATTCGGCGTATCTGATTTTCAGGTATTTACTAGTATTAATCTTATTTTTATAGTGTTTTTAAGTGTGTTTACATTTAAGTTTATTAACTGAACCAGTAACAATGGACAGAAATAGCAGATCATTTAAAATGCTGCATATTTTAAATAACCAACAAAGGGAGAAAATACATAGTTAAGGACAACGTGTCGTGAAGAAACCCAAACTTTAGCATGATAATGACCCCGATTTTATTTTGTCAGATTAAGAGACAGAAGAAATTGGGGAACCGAAATTAAACAGAAAAGGTTTAAATATAGTGATATTATTAAGATTATTAGTTATATAACTTTGAGAGCTGCAAATATTGTTTCCGAAGAATCTGATTCCAAAGGTGAAGAAGAAGGTAAGGAAGACTGTCTCCCTTTTATTCAAGAAATCTTGGTAGATATAATATATGTATCTGTTAAAAGGGCGGAAAAGACAATTTAACCAAAACAGAAGAAATCTGTAAACGAAAGAAATTTACAGAGAGCTGAGAAAAAAAGAAAATTATTAGCCACAATTGCTAAGCACGGTGAAAAACCATCTTGTATCTCTTGCAAGAGAAGATGTTCCGAAAAAAGTACAGAAGCAAGACGAACAGAAATAAATGGAGAATTTTGGAAATTGTAAAAAGACGAACAGAAATTTTTTATTTTTAATAACGCATCTCAACAAGTAACCAAACGGAAAACCGCAGCTAGTATTGTGTCTAGAAAGTCGAAAAGTTTTTTATATTTTCTTAAAGACAATGACGGATGCAAACAAAGTGTCTGCAAAATATTTTTAATGAGAATGCTGGGATAATATGAAAAGAAAAATGACAGAGTTATTAGAAATGCCCTTATTAAATTAAATTCAAAAGTAACTGTCAACAGGAATAAACAAGGAAAGACAGGAAAAATTAAAATAGATCGAAATATTATTAAAGAACATATAGAATCTTTCAAACCCACAGAACCACACTAACCACACTCACAATAAAAATGATGTACCAGAATTTTATTGAAAAATATCCAAATATCAAGTTTTCGTATTATTTATATCGAGAAGTTGTCGCAACTTTAAATACTTCATTTGTAAAATTAGGACACGAAGAGTGCTGGTTGTGTGAATCATTTGACTTGCATTCAAAATCCACGTCTCACAAAAAGGATGCATTGGTGGATAATTGTGAGGAATGCACCAACTTTGGTGTACATCAAAATAAATACACTGTTGCCAGATCAGAATATCAAACTGACTCGTCTGCAAAAAGTAACTGAGACGATACATCAACGGTAGTTTCAGCGGATTTGCAAAAGATAATAAAATATTATATTAATTATAAATGTTTTATTTTGTTGTGATATTTTAGGTCATAATGCTTCCGAGAATGGATATGTTTAAGGAGACTATTTTTACACCTACAATAATTGCTTTTAATGAAAGTTTTGTCGTCAATGCTAGAAAGCCGAAAACAGTACCAACTGCAATTTTATGGCACTAAGGAATAGCCGAACGGAGTAAGTCGGATATTGCCAGCACATTCTATAAATTTTTTTTTGTTTCACCGAGACGCTAAAATGTTATAATGTGGCTTGACAATTGCTCTGCTCAAAATAAAAACCGGGCTTTGATTACTTTCTTTACGTTTATTGTAAACTGTGGGGATATCGCACTTGAAAAAATAAAGAATTAAGTATTTTGAGCCTGGCCATACCTTTATCAAAGAATATAGACGCTTAGCGTCTGTATTCTTTGCCTTTATGGCTGCGGACTCATTCCACCACCAAGTGGAATGCTCCAGAAAGATTTTACGGATGCAATAGCAAATGCAGCAAGTAATGCTAAAGTAATTGCTGAGGAATTAGCTGCCTTTTTTGAATTGCAAGATGGTACTTCTGCATATAAACTGAATAAAATCAATCCCAGGCCATACCTAAATTAAATGGTGAAGTAAATTTTCTAGAAGTACAGTATGTGATTTTTTTTTCATTTTTTCAATATTCACAGTTGGCAACACTACCTACACAGTTGACAGCTGACCAAGCATTGAAAACATAACCTTACTGTGTGTTGGTGTGTTTGAGTGTGTTTTAGGTCATTTTTTACCAAGCTTGTGTTGTTTTGGAGGTTTTGGTACTACTTTGTGTTGTTTTTGGTTTTATTCCAACATGGATATTACGCCTAGGAAGCGTGAAAAGATTGTCACGTTGAGTGAACACACTAGTATGTCACAAAGAGAGATTGGGGATCAGGGGGTAGTAAGCAAAATTTTGAAGCGTAAACGAGAAATGGGATCAGTGGATGTGAAAAGGTTAGGAAAATGTGGAAGAAAGAGAAAAACAACACCAGCAGATGATAGATTTTTACTTCGAAAGAGCAAATTTGACCCAAGAAAATCAAGCCAAGACCTACAACAAGATCTAGCAGCATCAGCTATAGTGATTCATGACTCAACTGTTCGTAGAAGACTTTTGGAGAATGGTAGAAGGGCAATTCGTCCACAGAAAAAACAGCTTCTAACTGAACGAATGAAGAAACAAAGGCTACTGTAGGCCAAAAAATACTCTAATTGGACTATAGGCGACTGGAAAAAAGTCCTATTTACAGATGAAACCCACTTTATAGTTCAGGGACAGCGGTCGAAATTCGTCAGGAAGTCTGACAATGAAAAGCTTACACCATCTCATATTGATCAAACTGTAAAACATCCAGTCAAGAAAATGTTTTGGGGATGTTTTTCATACATGGGGGTTGGATCTTTGGTGCCAATTGAAGGCATGATGAACAGCCAAAAATACAAATCCATGTTGGAAAAGTATTTGGACAAACAACTCCAAAAATGTCAACCCCAAGGAGGAGCGATTCTTCAACAGGACTCTGCTCCCTGTCACAAATCAAAGGAAATGATGGCATTTTTAAAAAATATAGAAGATTAATGTTTTAGATTGGCCCGTAATTCGCCCGACCTCAACCCCATTGAAAATTTATGGGCCATTTGCAAAGCTAGACTGCGAAAAATCGACTGTACCACTAAAACAAAAATGATAGAAGCGGCCATTCAGGTTTGGTATCGAGATGAAAGGATATCTGACAACTGCCAGAAACTCATAGAATCTATGCCAAAACGGGTAAAAGCAGTAATTGCTGCCAAAGGGGGACATATTTCCTACTGAATGATGTAAGTTTACCTTTATAATTTTGTCAAAATATAATTTTTTACTAAATAAACTGTTTTTTCATTAAAACAGCCTATGATTCCATTAATTTGCACAATACTGTAAATATACTTTTTCGTAGAAAACCAGCTTTATCTCAGAGACAGAAAGTGAAGTAAATATTCTAAATGCAAAGATTGCAAAACAGGGAATGACAAAACCTTCACCCAAGTCCATTCCTAGAGGCATAACGACTGAAAAAAAAAACTAATTATCAAAACTGTGTGGACACATGCCTAAAAGCAGACAAACGTTTTGGAATAATTTACCAACAAAGAAAATTGCACGCATTCATTAAATTTGTACTCAAAAAATATATTGTTATGTTGTAACAAGATTTTTAATGTGCCATTACAGTTGATGGCAATTAATGAAATCTAAAACGTCGTATATCTCAAAATAGGGATTTTATCAGTTACGACTTCTATTCTTAATAGGGCAGATCAGTTAATATAATACTTATAGCCAAAATGATCGCCAATATTCGAAACCAATAGGCACCAAAAGAAGAAGAAGTATCTTGTTTGCTCTATTACAGTGAAATGCTATTATGTCTATGTTAATTTTTTGTAATATAAACAATAAAATGTAACGAGGATACACAAAAAGGTCCATACTGTAAGGTTAAAGCAATCTAGGAAGAAAACTACTAAATTACCTGATAATTTCACTGCTAGCTAGAGCAGCTACCACCAACACAACCAAAAACTTAGCGTACATCATGATGAAGTAATTAAGTTTTTTATTTTTTGGTGTTTATATACAGTTTCATATCGCTTTTTGAAGTACTTGAGATACCTGAAGAGTCTTATTGTTTTTTTTTTAACAAAAACTTCCATTATTTTACGTCACGACTCTTGAAAAAGTATTTTTTTTCCAATTTCAGAGTAAAAATTATCTTTAAACCTTATCAATATTGTTCTGAAGGTGTTTTGTTAAATTTTATCTATCAGGTCAAGTTCAAACACTTTCATTTATTTTGTTTAAAAACGCTTTATAATGGTGGTTGGAAACAAAAAAGTGCTGTTTATAATGTTCTTTTTTTCTAATCGTTTAGTCCCATTTTTCTGAGTTCTTCTTCAACATTTTCTCTTTAACCCCCTCTCTGGACTTCCTTTACTTTAGTTTACTGATTTATTTCTTTATTTTGTAATTGCGCCTTTCTTTAGAGCTAGGTTTGACATCAATGTCTAATCTATAACCATCACATGATCATGATCGCATGTCTTTTTCATATTCATATTAAATATTGTCTAATCTGGTGCCAAATCGAAATATTGCTGTTGATGGAAGGGAATATTGTGCAGACTACATCGTATAAGTACTTAGGACATGTAATTCGGTTGAGCAGAATTAACCAGACATGTAAGCTCCGATATCAAATACAGTTTTTTATTAAATATTGCCCAAGTACTTTCGCTCTCCGAGCATCGTCAGGGGCATTTCATCAAAAATTTTGGCTATCCAGCACGTTAATGAATTTTATATACAAAATATATTTATACAAAAGCCAACAATAAAAAAGGAAAAACAGTTTAAAAACTATTTTGAAGCTCCATTGTGGCCAACAGAAGGAGACAGAATCTGCATTGTCATAAGTCCAGGATTTGTGCTATTTTTAAACAGATTTTTATTTGCCTTGTGGTATATGAAGATGTGCCCTTTTCACAAAAAAATATGTAAAAGCTTCAGTTAATAAAATGGCACCAAAAAGTGATACTTAAAAAATGTGTGGCTTATGCCTTTGCGAAATGACTGGTTCAATTAGAGCCACTTCTTTGATTTTTCTTGTTTTGCCATCTGTTTCTTTTAGGACTTACACATTAAGTCAGTTTCCTAGGCATGCTTACATATTAAAAATCGATCAAATCCCCTATTTTTGATAATTATATTGATTCACTTATTCTAACATTTAATGGTCATGGTTTGACCTAAATAAAACTGATCGCATTTACAAGGTATTTTATAAATATAATTCTTTGTTCTTTCTTGTTGGTTGTTAGGTAAAATAGACCGTAATGTGTTTGTGATTAATTGTTAATCCTTTTTCTGTACGATAATTCTATTTTCCTTGTATCATTTCTTGTGAATGTTATACAATATTGTTCTAAGTTGTTTTCTTCCATTTTTTGTATTTTTAAAACTTCCATATTTATAGATGGCAAAGCATAATCATCTTTAAAAATTGTTTATTAAAAAAACAATTATCATAATTATGATTTCATTTATTACTTTAAAAACTACCAAGTTTGTTTTGTCTTAATAAAAAATTAAGAAATATTATTGAATTACAGTAACAATTTGTTTTAATATTTCAAGGAGTTCTTATACAATATTTGTATAAATCATTCACAAATTTGTGTAAACATTTTATTTCGAATCAATAAAAATTATAAGATTTGGAAAGTTTTTTTCTTAAATTTTAGGGCAAATATAATGTCACTATATCTTCACAATATTTACTGTTCTGTATTTCTACTTATCTAGCTCTGTAATAAATAAATATTGTGCAAACGTTATATTGGAACCAAAGTGCCATAGTTCAAATTGATGGGCAACACTCAGAAGAAATGAGGATCTGTAGAGGAGTTAGACAGGGATGTGTTTTATCACCACTTTTGTTTAACTTATATTCTGAAGAAATTTTCCAAAACACGCTCAATAATATCGAAGCGGGAGTCACCGTTAACGGAAAAATTAATTAATAATTTAAGATATGCAGACGACACTGTGATCATAGCAACGAGTATAGAGGATCTACAACATCTTATCGAAAGCTTGAGTATAATAGTGCTGAGATGGGAATTACTATAAACGCTAAAAAAAACGAAGTACATGCTGATTACAACAAGGCCACAAAATATACACCACCTATTGACAATAAATGGTAACGTGATAGAACAAGTAGAAAAATTTTAGTATTTAAGAACTTTGATCAATGAAAAGAATGATCATACTGTAGAAATAAACAGGCGAATAGAGATTGCCAGATCAGCATTTATACGAATGAAGCCACTCCTAACGTGCAACAATCTAAATTTGGAGATCAGACTACGTACCATTCGCTGTTATATATTTTCAATATTATTATATGGAGCTGAGACTTGGACATTAAAAAAATGTAATTTAAAAAGAATCGAGGCCTTCGAACTCTGGTTATACCGCAGAGTATTGAAAATATCATTGACTGATAGAATTACAAATAAAGAAGTACTGTAAAGGGTTGGTAAAGAAATAGAACTAATCACCACTATACAACCAGAAAACTGGAATACCTAGGCCACGTGATGAGGGACCAAAATATGAAATTTTGAGACTGATAATACAGGGAAAGATTTAAGGAAGAAGATCTGTTGGCCGAAGGCAGAACTCATGGTTAAAGAATCTACGTGATTGGTATCAATGTAGATTTTGAGGTGGTCAAAGAATTCAAATACCTAGGAGCAACAATTACCAGTGAAAACACAGGAGAACGGGAGGTCGAAATACGAATACTGGCGGGAAATAAATCATTCTTTCCATTCAACATCTAATGAGGTCAAAGCTTCTCTCAAGGCGCACCAAAATTAAAATGTACAAAACCATAATACGCCAGCAGTGACATATGGAAGTGAAACATGGACATTGAGAAAGAAAGAAATCAATAAGTTATTAGTATGGGAACGCAAAATCCTGCGAATTATATATGGTGTTTGCAGGACAGCGTGACAAATAAATGGAGGAGCAGATACAACAATGAAATAGAGACTCTCTTCGGGAAAGGAAACATCGTAAGATACATAAAAGCCAATAGATTAAGATGGGCAGGCCACGTGGTACGGAGTGATGATGACAGACTGATTAGCAATGTGTTTTGGGAAAGACCAGATGGTAAAAGATCGACAGGAAGGCCGAGAAAAAGGTGGAAAGACGCAGTCAGGGAAGTGTTATGCAGATCGATGATTTGTTTAGAGCAGCAAGTTCTAAATTAAAAATAGCCATTATGATTGCCAACCTCCGTAGGGAGACGGCACTCTAAGAAGAAGCTCTGTAATGCAATGTGATGTCCAAGTTAGGATATAGGTATGTACCAAACGTCGCAAACTAGAATACCTGGGCCATATAATGCGCAATGAACAACGATATGACCTACTTCGGACCATACTTCAAGGTAGAGTGCATGGGAAAAAAGGTCCAGAACGGAGAAGAATATCCTGGTTGCATAACCTGCGAAAGTGGTTTAACTTAACCACTACCGGACTTTTCAGGGCAGCAGTCAACAAAGTCAGAATAGCCATGTTAGTGTTCAACATCCGTAACGGATAGGCACCATAAGAAGAAGAAGATGTACCAATATAAAAAATCTTCGATTGTTCTTTGTTGACTTGACAAATAAGTTAACAGACTAAAAACAATTATGCAAATTCCTAAAAGATTAAGAGCTATAATAGGTAGAAATGTATTATAACGTGCCCCTTAAAAATGTTTTAGTATTTTCATAAAGCACGATTACTTTTGAAATGCATACGACTTTATGATAAAACTGACATAAATTTTATGAGTTTGAGTATGGAATCGTGATAACTAAAAACTGTTCTAATTTTTAATACATTGAAGTTGTATTTTATATAATTCTTTTTTTCAATAATCACCAGCTATTTCTAAAATTAATAGAATATAAAACGAATAATGAAATATGTATATAATGTGAGTTCATAGTATCTTGAGTACACAGTAAAGGCTTAAAAACACCTATCCTACTACGACCATTCAGTAGGAAAACTGTATGGCAGGAGAATTAAGTATTAACTGAGTCTTGTGAATGCCCCAGTCAGTTGTTATCTTCGATATCATCGACCGACATTACAAGCCTATTCGTATTCCTCTGCTCGATACGCTTGCCGTTTGATGCCAACATTTTAAGCAGTGTTGTTTTCTTAAAACTGAGATTATTGATGACTTCGCCGTTCATAAGTATTCCTTCTTGTTTTCTGAAAATTCTTTCTTGAGGAAACGTTAAAAAGTAGGGGTGACAAGAGGCATCCCTGCCGTACTCCTTTTTTTAATTTTGAGAGCCTGTGATTGCACACCATCTACTACTTGACAGACAAAACTGATGTTGTTTGATTTCAATATAAATTTGCAATTATTCGAACATCTCTGCCGTCCAAGCCAATGTTTTTTAGAGCTTCGATCAATATAGAGTGCTTAACAAGTCAATAAAATAACAGTATATGTCTACAGATATATCTTGACATCTTTGAGCAAGTACGTACATTCCAAACAGTGCCTCTCTCGTTCCAAACCCGTTACGGAAACCAAACTGAGTGTCATCCAGGTATTCCTCGCATTTATTGTAGATGCGACCATGTATTACCTTCAGAAAAATTTTCAATAAGTGGTTTAACAAACTGATGGTTTTTTTATCAGCACAGGCTTTGCTGTTGTCTTCTTAGGTAGAGCTATAAACAGTGAATTAGACCAACCATTAAGTAGTTGTCCGCTGGTATAAATGGTATTGAAAATCGAAGTTTTAGCCTCTAAAACATTGCTATCATTTATGGTAGAGCTGGTAATCCATATTCGTTGGATCAGAAATACGAGCACCTTTTGGAGCACGTACTCTGATTTGGCAAATAGTGATTGCTAATTGTACAGGGTGTACCCGATTAGTAGTGTGCGCCATATTCGAACTGTGGCCGGTCCCTGCGGGATTTTTGATTGAGCGCACCAGTGCAGTTACTAG